AGGGGTAATCAGACAGAGGCAGGCAAGCAGTTGGGAGCCAGCAGTTCTGGATTGTGAGAGGGATGTCCCAGATTGGAGAGGGTGCAGGCTGGGCTGAGGGACAACCCTCGCCACTACCCCTCTTCCCTCCATCCCCCACCCCCATGCATGAGTTTCATGCACCGGTCCTCTAGTGGTACTATAATGAAAATGTATTATTTATGCCATCAAGTTCTAAAAAAAAAAGAGGAGAAAGTATGAGGCTGAAAATTATTTGAAGCTATGATGGCTGAAAACTTCAAAACTTTGGCAAAAGGCATAAATCTACATATTTAAGAATCTGGGTGGCTGATACCAGTTTGGCTCAATGGATAGAGCATTGGCCTGCAGACTAAAAGATCCCAGGTTCGATTCCGGTCAAGAACGGGTAGCTTAGTTGTGGGCACATCCCCAGTAGGGGGTGTGCAGGAGGCAGCTGGTTGATGATTCTTTCTCTCATCAATGTTTCTAACTCTATCCCTCTCTCTTCATCTCTTAAAAAATCAATAAAACACATTAAAAGAAAAAGAATCTGGGTGGACTCTCAAGATAAGGCTAAAGAAATCTACATCAGTATATATAATAATCAAACTTCTAAAGCATAAAGGTAAAGAAAAAATATTGAAAGCAGCAAGACATAAAAATGACACCTTATTAATAAAGAAAAAGCAATTCAAAAAATAAAAGTTGATTTCTTCTCAGTCCAGAGGCCAAAAAGAAATGGCACAACATTTTCAAATGCTTAAAGAAAAGACCTCTCTACCCAGAATTCTATTATCCAGTGAAAATGCCCTTCAAGAATATCAAGGATATCATTACATTCTCAGATGAAGAAAAACTAAGAGAATTTGTTTCCAGCAGAACTACTCATGAAAAAATGTCTAATGGAATTAAAATTGAAAGAAAAAAAAAAAGAATTTTAGAACATCAGGGAAGAATAAAGAACAGCATGAATAATAATATAATAGGTAAACACACTAGATTTTCCTTTTTGATGGTTTAAGTGAAAATTATAACATTATATAATGTGGTTCTCTAAGTATCTAGAAGAAATATTTAAGAGAATTGCATTATAAATACAAGGGAGGGTAAAAATGACTTAAAGGTATTATATAAAGGTATTATATAAAGGTATTATATAAAGGTATTATATAAAGGTATTATATAAATATTCTCTTAAATTGTCAACACTAGTGGACTGTGATACCAGTGTAATATAGTAACTACAGCAGCCTAAAGGACAGACCTAAGCTCTAACATACCAATAATTGCTAAATGTAAATAGTCTAAATATGCTAAATAATAGACAGATTGGCAAAGTGGCTTTAAAATAAACCATGAACTAACTATATGTTGTCCTCAGAAAACTCTCTTCAAATATGATGATATAGATAGGTTGATAGTAAAACTGGAAAAATACTACTAAGTGCCATGTAAACAACAATCAAAGAAAGCAGCAGTGGCTATATTAATATCAGAGTGGATTTCAGAGCAAAAAATTATGAAGGACAGAAAAATATATTATATAATGATAAAAAGATCAACCTACCAAGAAGACATATAAATCCTAAATGTATATACACCAAAAGGTAAAAATACCAAATATGTGAAGCAAAAACTGACATAACTAAAGGGAAAAAAGTTGGGGACTTCAATACCTTTCTCAATAAGTAACAGAACAGCTAAACAGGAAATCAGCAAGGATAATAGATACACAAGAATTCCATCAACCAACAGAATCTAATCAATATTTATAGAACACTTTCTGCAACAATAGCAGCATATATTCTTTTCAAGTGCACATGGAATATTTACCAAGATTGATTTTATCAGACTACTGGCACAACATATCAAAAATGTCTAATGGAAGTTCTTGAAATTGAAAGAAAAAAAAAGAATTTTAGAACATCAGGGAAGAATAAAGAACAACACGAATAATAATATAATAGGTAAACACATTAGATTTTCCTTTTTGAGGGTTTAAGTGAAAGTTATAACATTATAATTTTCACTTATAGTGGGACATAGTTAAAGCAGTACTGAAAAAGAAATTTATGGCACTAAACATCTACATTAGAAAAGAAATCTCAAATCAATAATCTATCCTCTAACCACAAGAAATTAGAAAAAAAGCAAAGTAAACCCAAAGCAAGAAGAAGGAAGGAATTAATAAAGAGTATAAATCAATGAGCTTGAAAACTGATACACAAAGAAGAAAAATCAATGAAATCAAAAGCTTATTCTATGTAAAGAACAATAAAATTGACAAACTTCTAACAAGACTGACAAAGAAAAAAAGCAAGAAAATACAAATAAACAAGTATCAGGCATTAAACAGGAATACTACTAAGACCCCGCAGACACAAAAGCATAATAAGAGAATACTATAAACTCTATACACATAAGTTTGATAATATATTGCAACTGGACCAACTTCTTGAATAGCACAAACTGCCATAGCTCACCAATATGAAAAAGGTCATTTACATAATACTATAACTTTTAAAGAAATTGAACTGTTAATTTGTAAAATTCCCAATAAAGAAATATGCAGGCCCAGTTGGTTTCAGTGAAGAATTCTGCCAAATGTTTTAAGAATTAACATTAATTGTATACTTTCAGAAATGGGAGACCATTTCCCATCTCATTTTATAAGACCAGTATTATCTTTTTAAAAAAAATATTTTTATTGATTTCAGAGAAGAAGGGAGAAGGAGATAAGAAACATCAATGAGAGAGAATCACTGATTGGCTGCCTCCTGCATGCCCCACTCTGGGGATCAAGCCCTTGGCCGGAATCGAACCCGAGACCCTTCAGTTGCAGCCCGACGCTCTACTCACTGAGCCAAACTGAATAGGGCAGACCGGAATTATCTTGAAACCAAATCAGACATAGTACAAATAAGAGAAAACTGCAGACCAATATCCCTCATAAATGCAGATGCAAAAATCTTCACAAAATATTAGGAAATAGAGTTCAGCAATGTATAAGACAAATTGTATACCTTGACCAAGTATAGTTTTATTCCAGGAATCAAAGATGGTTCCCTTTCAAAAATCAATTTAATCAACCATTTCATTCTATTTTTCTCAGGGCTTCCAAAGAGTATCAAATAGAAACATTTAGGAAAAGTTAACAATTAATAAGATATCCATTTGATGGATATTGACTTACTATGGACCCAACCCTGGATATCTTATCAGTAGTTTAGAGTCGTCTTGATATTTTCTAAAATCCTGCTAGAGCTGCCAATTTCAGAGAAGAGATGCAATAACTTGTTCTCCCCTATGTAAATGATATACACTTTTGCTTTCCTCTCATTCATAATTTTATAAAGCAGTATGTGTAGGGTAGACAAGAGAATAGAATTGGTGGTTCATTTCTTATACAAACTCTAAATCTCAGGTTCTTCATTTGTAAAATAAGAATATCCATTTGAGACTACTGGGAGAATTAGAGATAAGGTCTGTATATATATAAACTAGAGTCAATATTCTACTTAAAACCTTTCAATGCTTTTGTGTATACTAGTACTTGTTCCACATATGTGTTTTTGCCCTATGGCAGCATCCCCTGATTCTAGAACTCCCCATGATGGCTCTTTTCTTCATTCAGTTCTCTATGAGGACTTTTCTGACAACCCAATATAAAAGAGTACAATGGAACCTTGGTTCTGAAACCTAATTTGTTCCAGAAGGCTGTTGGAGAAGCAATTTGTTTGAAAACCAAATCATTTTTCCCATTAGAAATTATGTAAATTGAATTAATTTGTACCAGACCCCCAAATAATTCCTTCTTTTAACTTTTGTTATATACATATCTAATGCACTGTTTAATATATAAATAAACACTTTTTAAAAAGGACATGAAATGTAAATGAACATTTAACAAAAAGGAAATGAAATGTACAGTAAAAATTATTTTAAAGTAATAAGCAGCAACAAAAGCAAACTAACCTATGAAAATGCCCTAACCGGTTTGCTCAGTGGATAGAGCATAGCCTGCAAACTGAAGGGTTCCAGATTCGATTCCTGGTCAAGGGCATGTACCTTGGTTGCAGGCACATCCCTCGTAGGGGGCGTGCAAAAGGCACCTGATAGATGTTTCTAACTCTATATTCTTTTCCCTTCTTCTCTGTAAATCAATAAAATATATTTAAAAAAATAACCCATGAAAATATTCACAGCACAATTTCCCGAGATCTTTATAACATGAGGTTTAGTGGTAAACTGACTCATACTCATGCATTTTCATTTGTCACCTTAGAGACTTGTGACTAATTCAGGCATCAGCACAAAAGGGTTATCAGGTTGAGGAGCAATTTTCAAGATAAGAGACAGTCAGGAACTGAAGTTTGACTATATTCCCCCAGGTACTTCTCACCACTTATTTCATATCACTTAACACTATCTGAAATTATCTCATCCCTTCCTTTGTGTGATTATGTGGCAGGAAATGTGTCTGTCTTGTTTCTCACTGATTCACTAGTTTTTAAATAGTGTCACTCCCTTCCTAATGCCCAGATCTTTCCTTTCCTTAATGTTTTACCATTCCCTAACCAACAGGCTATGTTTCAAGGTGAACATAGTCTGTGGGGAAGCATGGGACTTGGTTAGAAATCTGTAAAGAGGAAACTCTGAAAGGTCAGAACCTCCTGGGGAAGTTAGCTGAAGGCAATCACCCCTGCCTTAATCTTATCCAGAATTCAAAATCCTGATCAGACACCACACATGTAAGTGGGCTTCACCTTAACTCAAAGACAATGACTCTCCTTTTCTGCAATGACACAAAGCTGTTTTTACCCAAGGGAGGATCTGATGGAGCATAGCATCCATTTTCAGCCCAGTCATCCCACATGTACTGGTGTCAGACAGAGAACAGGCTGGAGCTGGGAGTGTCATCTATGACTCTTAGAATAGTTACATGTGCTTGGAGTGGAGCAGCAAAAATAAAGAGACACAGCCATGAGGGACATGTATATTTAAAATTCCTCCCCTTCATTTTCTTCTTCAAATGAATCAGTCCCCACTTCTTCATAATCCTTCTCTAGGGCAGCTAGGTCCTCCCTAGCTTCAGAAAATTCTCCTTCTTCCATACCCTCTCCAACATACCAATGGACAAAAGCCCGCTTGGCATACATGAGGTCAAACTTGTGGTCAAGGCGGGCCCAGGCCTCTGCAATCGCTGTGGTGTTGCTCAACATGCAGACAGCCCGCTGGACTTTGGCCAGGTCCCCTCCTGGCACCACAGTGGGTGGCTGGTAGTTGATGCCCACCTGGAAAACAGAGAAAGAGGAAGAACAACAAAAGAAGATGCAGGGTAGCCAAAGGGTGACTTGAGATGAGGCAACTTCATCACAGGGTGTGGGAGTAGGATTCAGGCACAGGCATGAAAGTAGGACTACAAGGCTAGGGGTTAAAAAAGGAGAACAGGAGGTTGGGAAGCAGGGAGGTAGAGGGAAAGGTGAATGCTGAGAAGAAAATAAAAGTGAATGGGATTGGGTACAGGCAAATTCAAGAAGGCCTAGAGAATCTAAAGATTGATAAAGACATAAAGGAGAACAGGGCTGGTAATAGAGATGTTTGTGGGGAGATTCAAGTAGACAAATGAGGGTAATGAATGAGATTGTTAAGGGGGAGGTGTGTAATACTAGTACATGTTTATCTTTAAAATGGAAATAGGTTCCTTTTAGAGGCAAATTAATTTCTAGACTTGAAGTTATTATGAGGTTTATTCTTTCTCAAATGGTCATTTGAAGTTCCTTTTAGTTATGCTGTCAATAAAGTTAGGGAAGTTTTTCTGCCAGGGGTGAAGGGTTGTTTAAAAGGTCATAGAGATATTCCATAGCAATAAATAAAAATATCCAAAAGGTCTGGCAATGAAATTAGTGTTAATCAAGCCTTGGATCTCTAAGAAGTGGGACTTCTTAGAAGAAAAGCAAGGACTCCAAGCAAAGAAAGTTAAAAACTCTTGCCTGGACAAGTCTACTTCTCAATTATGGTAGCATGGCAGGGCCTTCCAACAAATCCAGCTCAATCTTATGGTGGGACTACTATGCTAGAAATCTTTCTTTTCCTCACATACATATCAAACCAAAGCCAAGCCTAGGAACTGTAGAAACCTGGAAGAAATCTAAAGTGACAAACTGTGATAATACTTATGGACTAAGACTCATGGTGCCACCTGAAAAATACCTCTTCTACCCAGGCCACCATGCATTAATTGCCAATCTCTTCAATTCATATTAAAATAAATATATGATTATTGAGAGGTGGAGGTGGGAGTGGCAGTAGGCTATACAGGTAAGTGGTTAAACCATTAAATGGATTCACAAAGGCCTACCATTCCTCTTAGATAAAAGTAGTATCTTGGTGATAAAGTTGATGCTAAGACAGGAGTAAATACCAAAAATAAGAATAGTGTTGCTTAGAGCTAACTCTCTGTTTTGAATCCTAGTATTCCTTGATCTAAACCAAGTGGAGACAAGCATCTTGAGAATGATGAAAGAGGAGGAAGTTCAACAACAACTTTCTCACAGCCTGTACTTTTTTGAAAAGCAGATCAAGTTGATGGCACTATCTTATCTTTCTGGACATGACCCCAAAGCTTCAGTTTAAAATAAAGTAGAGAATGGTAAGGGGTCTTCCTTTGTTAATTTCCCCATCACCGTCACATCTCATTTTTTTTCTACCTCTTTCTTATTAGTATGTTTTATTGTTTCCATTTGAAATAGGAAAAAAAAAGTGCATTTTTTGAAGAGTGTGACTGTTTTCATAAGAATAATCAGAACTGACACACAAAATAGGCAGAACATAGAAAAAAAAGATTATGTATGTAGCTATGAGTAGGGCAATGAGGAAGAATGTTACACAATTCCTTTCTCAGCAGATCAGCTAGGTCAGCGTTTCATAGGCCAAATAGGTCAGCCAAGAGGCTGGCACATGGTGCCTTGTTTTTGTAAGTCCCACCAGGGAAAAACTGAGATATGTTTATCACTATCTCCAATCTGATGCTTAGTAAACCTTTGAATTATTAAAGGCCTGGGTGGTGTTAATTAATATAAATGATGGTAGTTATTTTGATGGTGGAATCTCTGTAAAGACCATGGAACACAGGACAAAATGATCACCCAGTTCACATGTTCAGAGCCAGCTGCATGTCCTGCTAGTGCAACTCAAATGGTGGTTTTATCACTATTCAGTGTTTAGCACTTTATCCATGGGTCTTCCCTGGATATTTCACATTTCCACAAAAATATTTAATTTTTCACAATAAATTAGGAGAACACATCTTTTGTTAAGTGGAGGGAATTACACCTCTTTGGCAACTTTAACAATTTGGTTATCTCCATTTTCTAATATACTGTCAAATCACAACTACCTCTACTCCTTTATCCTGTTCATATCATTTGCCCGCACATGTTCTTTATATCCTGTTCATTCCTCCCTACAAAAGAAACACCATTTTTTTTTTTGCCTGACCTGTGAGATGCTTGTAGATATTAGGGTAGGAGCCGTAGAAGTCTTCTCCCTATTTCAATAGTACCCCTCCCATTCTTTTACTAATCCTTTATAATAAATTCTCCCCTTACCTGTATAAATTAAATTAGTGAGTGAAGGAATGAATTTAATTAATGGTACAGTTGGCTTAAGTCCCTCTTCCCATATTATTCCAATAAAGCCTGAAGTGTCCATGGAATTGAGTATCTGTCCAAGACTCTGGAGTTTGCATGTCCTTCTCCCCCATCCTTGGTAATCTACCTCTGCTTCTCTAGATGTATAACTCCTCCCTGTGTCATCAGCTCTCACCTTGAAGCCAGTAGGACACCAGTCTACAAACTGGATGGTCCTCTTGGTTTTGATGGCGGCAATAGCGACATTCACATCCTTTGGCACCACATCCCCACGGTAGAGCATGCAGCAGGCCATGTACTTGCCATGTCTTGGGTCACACTTTACCATCTGGCTATTGGGCTCAAAGCAGGAGCTGGTTATCTCAGCCACGGAGAATTGTTCATGATAGGCTTTCTCAGCAGAAATGATGGGTGCATAGGTGACCAGTGGGAAGTGGATGCGGGGGTAGGGCACCAGGTTGGTCTGGAATTCAGTGAGGTCCACATTGAGGGCCCCGTCAAAGCGGAGAGAGGCAGTGATGGAAGATACGATTTGGCTAATAAGGCGGTTGAGGTTGGTATAGGTGGGGCGCTCAATGTCTAGGTTCCTGCGGCAGATGTCATAGATGGCTTCATTATCTACCATGAAAGCACAATCTGAATGTTCCAGTGTGGTGTGGGTGGTTAAGATGGAGTTATAGGGCTCAACCACTGCAGTGGAGACCTGGGGGGCTGGGTAGATAGCAAACTCTAGCTTGGACTTCTTGCCATAATCCAAGGAGAGGCGTTCCATCAGTAGAGAAGTGAAGCCAGAGCCAGTGCCCCCACCAAAACTATGGAAGATCAGGAAGCCCTGCAAACCAGAGCAGGCATCTGTCTTGAGAGAGTAAGACATGAGAAGAAACCATGAAGACACGTTTCTAAGAATACCCTAATGTAGACAAAGGCAGGCAATCTTTATCTCTGCCCCACTATATTCCTCAACATTTTTATGAGGGTGAAATCAAGCAGCCTTGAAGGAATAAGGAAACACAAAAGAGTTGGATTGACCTTGGGAGGGCTAGTTAAAATATGGGACAGCAAACTATACATGCATATGCCTCTAGGTACATTAGCATTTCAATCCAGTGGCTTTGTGGAACCAGGAATGAAAGTTTCAGAACAACAGTAGTTAATGACTATGCCCTTTGAGAGCCCCCAATTCCTCACCCATTTCCCCTGCCTTCATCATTTGGCTTTATGGAAACTGCTGACCTGTAGATCTCAGCCAAACCTGGGAAGGTGGCTCAGGAAACAATTTTAGAAATATTAATGGAGTCAGAGAACCTGAGTTTTAATATCAATTTGACATTTTTCAGTTGTACAAATTTAAGCAAGTTATGGAACCTCTCCAGACTTCTGTTGCTTCTTGGTTAAAGTAGGACAATAAAAAATACACTCATATCATAAGGTTAGTGTGATCATTAAGTGAAATAGCATAATATGCTGGACAAGGACTTAACATGCAGTAAGCACCCAATGTCAGTGACTATCAGAATGAAGAGATTTTATAGATTCACAAGGTGTAATCTATAATCATTCAATCCAGTGTTTATGAACTTCTGGGGATCAGACAGTTTTGAGACGAATGACCACTATAACCCCTTTTCTAAACTGAAAGGGTGAGCACATAAAAAATTTGGCATCCTTAGCTCTCAAGAACCCTTGATCAAGTTTCCCCTTTTTCATTAGGCAGATAAGGAAATGAAGGTTCAAGTAGATGTGACCACTCTACATCTAGAGCTTTCTAGTCAAACCAACCTGGTTTAAATCCTAAATCTGCCATTTTCTACTGTGTGACCTGAGCCAATTTTTTTAACCACCCTGGCCCTCATTTCTTCATGTAAAGTATAGGGAAGTGACCTCCTTCATATCATTAGTAAGGGGATTAAATTAAGGAATATATTTAATAAACACTCATAATGGCATTTGTACTGAAATACATCAACAATCACTTCCTGTCCTCTCTTCCAAGTTTAATGCTTTGTTAACTTATGCTTCAACTTTCCTTGTTGGAATTTAGCCTTCCTTATGCCTGGAGTTTTCTCCAGACACTACCACAAAGTATCGATAATATTAATAAGGCATCAGCTTGTAGGGTGTTCCATGAGGTTTAGGTAGAAGAAAGTGCACTATCCCTATGAATGCTTCTTTCAAAAATTCCCAAATCTTAGGAGTTCTATCCTATAGCCTATAGCCATATGTCTCTACCCACTCTGCTCAGAGAGGTATGAGTCTAAGCCTATCCACTTTAGCCTGCCCTTATTAACACTTACCAACTTCCTTATGCAGTTCAGCACCAGGTCAATGCTCTCCTTGCCCACTGTGTAGTGGCCCCGGGCATAGTTGTTAGCTGCATCCTCCTTTCCTGTGATCAGCTGCTCTGGATGGAAGAGCTGGTGGTAGGTTCCTGCCCGAACCTCATCTACCAAGAGAGGGGGACCATTGGTCTTACTATCTCCTTTTCCATTATAATAACCTATAACAGCCTTCTGGGTCTTCACTTCCCTACTGTAAAACTCTACAAAGGTGAATTCAAATGTGCAAAAGGCTAAGATAAGTCTAAAGTGACTTAGGTACTAAAAAAACCAGAAGCCAGTGACTCCAGCAGGTGATAAGAAGCCTGCTGCTCTCCTGGTTACAACTTAAAAAAGCCTTAACTTTACAAAGCTCACTGAACACTATAGTTGATTGCCACTCCTTCCATTTACCTTGATCCCTCAAGGCTTCCCTCTTATTTTTTCTTTCATGCTGCAAAGTTATCTCAAAACTTAACCTGATTTCACGTGCATTAAAATGTTCTAGAGACAGAGAAAGATTCAGGGTGATCTGCCCATTTCCTATTCTCTCCCAGGAATAGTTCCCCATCACCTCCACCTCAAGGTGGTAATAATATATATCAGGTATTAGAGATACTTTAGAATGAAAGGTTGTAGAGGAGCAGGAGCCCTGGAAAGGTCCTCAAGAGGACTCTGCTCACCTCTAAGGGTCCACACAAAATGGACACATAGCCAATTAGAGGCACCAGGTCCCAATTGCACCCCTTCTTCTCTTCAGGGGTCTACTACTCCCTTAGAGAAAGCATCCATTTGCATGGTGGCCTGTAAGGGTAATCTGCACTTTTTGTATTTATACAAAGTTCTCAAGTACCTATAGTCAGCTGTGCCTAGAAATTAGTGGTCAGGCCTTATAGACATTTGCCCAGATGTCTTTGTGAAGCTTATACATCCTTTGTTGACCCAGCTTGGAGCTGAGAAAATCCAGATCCAGGGAAATCGTGCTTGAATGGGGTGAACTCAGGGAGAGACCTAAATTTCTGTTTTCTAATATTTAAGTGAAGTTCATGCTTTTATAGCCACCTCTGGCTATAAGAAAAATGCCTGCTATTATTCCATTTTGTGTGCCAGACACTGCAAGCTTATATCAACACTGTGAGAATAGGTTGAAATTATTATAGAATCAGAAACCTCGAGAAACTGGCTATTTGGAGCCTTCCTATAATACCTAAAATCACTTGTATTTTTTAGCCTTAGTATATTGTAAACAATTTTGACAATTTAATCTGTCTCCATAGGTTTAAGCAGAGAGCATTTTATTTGCAATTAAGATAGAGCTGTAATGGGAGAGCAAAGAGTCCTGGTCCCTATTGTGAGATCTCCAATTATGGACAATTCAAGGAGCTGACAGACATCATAGGGAACAGAAGGGCTCTAACTAAGTCATCTCCAACTTCCAGTTGAAGATTCTGCTTCCTTAGACTCATGAACAAAGCCACACAGTCTCATGTTGCTTTCTGTGGGGAGGGTTCTAGTCCATACTCACCTACGACTGTAGGCTCCAGGTCTACCATGACAGCCCGGGGCACATGCTTCCCATTGCCGGTTTCACTAAAAAAGGTGGTGAATGAGTCGTCGTCATTAATCTTGCTGGCTTGGGCACCAAAGGTGCCATCTGCCTGAATTCCGTGTTCCAGGCAGAAGAGTTCCCAGCAGGCATTGCCAATCTGAACTCCCGCTTGACCCACATGGACTGATATGCATTCCCTCTGTGGGGAGAGTGCAGAATCACGGTCAGAGAGCCCTAGGACCTAGCCATGTCTCTGTCCTGTATCTCTCATATCTAAGGATTTGTCTCTCGTGGCATTCACCTCACAAGATGTCTATCTTCCAGCCATGCCATTCCAGAACCAGGTCTGAGGTCTCAGGTGTCTGAGCACAGGGACTAAAAATTAGCTCTTGAAGAACCACCATTTTGTGGTTTGCTCTAAAGGTTGTTTTCCAAGGTTAATTCTTTGTAGCAAGAAAAGGAAAAAGAGGGCACCTGCACAAATGAAATAAGGGACTAATTCTAAATCACGAGACTTCTGTGCTGATGAAGGAGGTCAAAAATCAAATCAGTGATGGGAGACAAAATGGTGGCCGAACAGATGGACCTGTTCTGAGCCTAGTCCCAGAGTAGATAGAAGGAGTGTCTGAGAGTCGCTCGGGGAGTATTAGTTGGCAAGATAAGGGGTAGCAGAACTCTAAGAGAAAGTAAAGGTCTGCTGGACAGGATTTCCTGACCAAGCAACCCGCACTGCAGTGGAGATCTCTCCCAGAGCTACAGGCTCAGAGGGAAAACTACTCCATCTTACAAAGAAAAGAGGATCTTCTCTGAGGCCTGAAAAACCCACAAAAGTGGAGACCACTGAATAACTGTGATGCCTCAATTGGCGCAAACACGTGGATTCAAAGGAGTTCTTCAATCACCCAAGGAAAGGTCAGAGTTTTCAAGGGATAATGTGAGGGATCTGGGTCCCCATGGCAGCAGGGGTGGTGGCTGCAGTGGCTGTGTGGCCAGAGCAGCTCCGAAAGAGGCAGTGGCTGCAGAGAGAATCATGCGCTGCAAGACTCAGTGCTGGGTTTGGCATGATCTTCCCCAAAATCGGGACTTTTTCAAAACACCAAGGGATGCAGGACAAATTGTTAAGAATTGGGACTGTCCCACCAAAAGCGGAACATCTGGACACCTTGGTGCAGTCCCATCCTATGCCTGGTCCCCTTCACCACCTTGCTTCTGAGTACTAGGGAAGGACTGCCCAGTTTGGCATATCCTGGGAGACTGCAGGGGGAAATTGCCTTCCTGGAAACAGGGGATCAGAGTGAGAAGAGACCATCTGGGAGCCAGCACCTTAAGCAGCCTACCTCGACAAACCATAGAGAGTGCCATAGAGAAAGAAGGCTAGAGCAGCCAAAAAGATGGGGAAGTCAATCCAGAAACAATGACACCTAGGGACTGAATTATAAACTGACTCTTTTAAAATTATTATTATTACTTTTAATTAATCAAAAATAAATGGACACAAATAACTAAGACATAGCCTATTTAAAATTAAGGACTAGCTTACAAAACTGAGGTACAGTGGAATGCAGGGAACTGCAATATTGTCTGGACCAAGAAACAGGCATGCCAAATAGAATAACAAATGAAGTGAATGACCAATACTGCACATTTTTTCTATTTTTTATTTTATTTTCATTTTTTTACATCTTTTATTCTCATTTTTTACATCTTTTACTTAAGAAACAAATTTTTTCCCTTTTTCCTCACTTGATTCTACCTTTTCAATTATTAGACTTTTTTAGTTTCAATCATTATTACTACTGCTATTTTGCATTTTTTGTTTTCTTTTTCTTTTCTTTTTTTAAAGTACCATTTTATTTTCTCTTTATTTTACATTGGGATTAGTTTTCTTCACTCTATTTTCATCTCTACTATAGCATCGTTAACCCTATCTCAACCCGACCTTTATGCCATCACTCTCTTACTAATCTTTCCCCTTTTCGTCTCCTGTTTATCTTAACCCTTTCCTGCTTTAGTTTTTCCCTATACTTTCTGTATACCACCTGCTAAAATTCTCACCCTACTTATATACCTAATTTCCAACCCCCTTCTCCAAGTGCATAAATACCACTCTCTTTGCTATATTAACTATTAAAATAACAAAAAACTGTTTTCCTCTCTGTCCTTTTGTTGTTGTTTGCGTGAATGTTGATCATATTGAATTTTATGCTTTTTAGTGAGATTGATATGCTTATTCTTTTGTTGTTATTGTTGCTTAGTATTTTTTAATTGCTTTGTTTTTATTTTATTTTTTTTTTTACTTCTGTCTATCCTAGCCTTGTTTGATATTAGTGGGTATTGTAGTTTCTATTAATCTCCAAGTATTGTTGCTGGGATTGGTGGTTATTCTATTGGAATATTCTCCACATATATATAGTTTGTTCCCCTTTTCTCTCTCAGTCTGTTTCTTCTCTCTCTCTTTCTCTCTCTCTCTCTCTTTCTCTCTCTCTCTCTCTCTCTCTCTCTCTCTCTCTCTCTCCTCTCTCTCTCTCTCCTGTTTCCCAATTTCATTTTCACACTACATTTTTCTTCTTTTTTCTATCTGTTTATTTATCCCTCTACTTTTTCTATTACTTTTCATTTTTTAAAAATATATTTTATTGATTTTTTTACAGAGAGGAAGGGAGAGAGATAGAGAGCTAGAGAGCTAGAAATGTCGATGAGAGAGAAACATCGACCAGCTGCCTCTTGCACACCCCTACCGAGGATGTGCCCGCAACCAATGTACATGCCCTTGACCGGAATCGAACCTGGGACCTTTCAGTCTGCAGACCGACGCTCTACCACTGAGCCAAAAGGGCTTCTGCTTTATTTTTTTTTTTTTTACTTTTCTTCTTTCTCTCCTATCCCCTAATTGGCCTTCCTCTAGTGGTAACCTTTATTAGAGGATATTAATATCACAAATACATTCCTGTTCAGTGCCTTTTGTTTTGTACCTGGTAATGTTGTACCCTGTTTCCCTGAAAATAAGACAGTGTCTTATATTAATTTTTGCTCCCAAAGATGCGCTAGGTCTTATTTTCAGGGGATGTCTTATTTTTCCATGAAGAAGAATACGGTACACATTTATTGTTAAATTAAAATAAAGGAAATTTATTACCTGTATATGGTACGGTAGTATGGTAGTTGTCAACACAAACCAAACAAACTATGAATCTTACAGTATCAAGAATTTACTCATTTATTCAATGACAATCATGTCATCATCTTCTGGAACATCATCATAACAATCCAATTCCTGAATTTTCTGGTGAATTTCTTGTGACTCCATTTCTTTCAGAATCAGTGGACAAAATCTCTCATGTTTACCCTGGGGAAGCCCTTATTTTGGGGGGATGCCTTATATTTCACTCAGAAGGAAACATACATGTAAGTAGGTCTTATTTTCAAGGAAACACGGTATTTTGTGCCTTTAAATCAACGCAGGAAAAGGATTCCTACATAACCAGACATCCTGAAAAGTGATACCATGGGGAGACAAAGAAATATCCCGCACATGAAAGAAAAGCAGGCATCACCAGAAAAGGAAGTAAATGAGTTAGAGGCAAGCAACATACCAGAGCAAGAATTCAGAGTAATGATTATAAAATGGCTAAAAGGAATGGAAGACAAATTTGACAATATGAGTAAGAACCAAGAGGAAATGAAGATGAACCAAGAAGAAATGAAAAATGACATTGCTACTACGAAGTACTCAAAAGATAGCATCAAGAGTAGACTAGAAGAAGCAGAGGACCCCATCAGTGAGCTAGAAGACAAGATTAAAAAAATACCCAGTTAGAGCAGCTTCTAGAAAAAAAATTTAAAAAGCAGGAGGAGAGCCTACGGGAACTTTGGGACAATACAAAACAAAACAATATTAGAATAATAGGGGTTTGAGAAGGAAAGAAAACTGAGGAACACGTGGAAAATGTATTTCAAGAAACAATGACAGAAAACTTTCCTGAAATAAGGATCCAAGATGGCTGCGCTCAGGTAACACCTAGCCGCAGCCACACACAACAATTTCAATAAAATACAACTAAAATATAAAATGGACATTACCCAGAACTATAGGAAAGTCGACTGACTGGAAATCCTACAGCGAGAAGCAAGGAGTAAACCAGAAGGAAGCGCGGAGGAGCTGGAAAAGCCCAAGGTACGGAGACGTGCAGCGCGGAGAGGACGGAGCCAGAGAGGAGGGAGGCCGAGTGCCTGGCGGGCATTCCCTAGCGGGAAGGAGATAAAACTCCGACTGTGCTGGGCCCCATTCTGACTGCTCTGAACCCCAGGCCTAGGCCAGACCCCGGGGACCCAGGCTCACACAGAGGGAGCTGGGCTGAAAGGCGGAACCCCGGGGAAGAGGCGGAAGGAGGTCCCGGTAGCGCCGCGCAGAGAAGGGATGGCCGGCTGTGCCACAGGATTGCCTGGTGGGAAGGAGACAGGGGCGCCAGTCTGCTCTGAACGCCACCTCCAACTCCACTTCCAACTGAACTGAACACCAATACTGGGCTCATTGGGGGAGAGCATTGACTGTTTGGCAGCAGGCGAAAATTGAGGGCACCTTTCTCTCAGAGGCGCTGGCAGTGAGCACTGAAGGACCTGCATAGGGCGGGGCTGATGGAAGCCAAGGCTGCAGGCTCCACCCTGAAACCCCATCCCATCTGTAGCTGCAAAATGCGACAACGAAATAGATCACAAACAAAAGAAATAGAGGACAAAAAGCGGCTGGATATAGAGTTCAAATCTATGCTTATAAGGTTTTTCAAGAATTTCCTAGAAAAGATGGATAAGACCTATGAGGATATGAAAAGAGGTCAACTAGAATTAATAAGGAGTCGACAAGAAATAAAGAATACATTGTCTGAAATAAAAAATATTATATAGAGTCCTAAAAACAGAATGGAAGATTGCAAGAATCAAGTCAAAGATTTGGAGCATAAAGAGCCAGAAGACACCCCTTCACAGAAGCTAGAAGGCAAGAGAATCCAGAAAATTGAAGATAATGTAAGAAACCTCTGGGACAACTTCAAGTGAACCAACATCAGAATTATGGGGGTCCCAGAAGATGAGAAAGAGCAAGATATTAAAAACATACTGAAAGAAATAGTGACAGAAAACTTCCCCCACCTGGTGAAAGAATTAGACTTACAAGTCCAGGAAGCACACAGAACTCCAAACAAA